TAATTCCTCAAACTGCTCTAGCCTTGGCAGCCTGATGAGAAATTAGCAGAGGACAGACAGGAGTTACAGTTTTGTTTGGTTTGTTCTGTTTYTTAAAAAGTAAACAAAATTTGGGGATATATTTGCAGAAGTTGGGAATTCCAGCAGAAAACTTCCTCAAGTGAAGACACAAAGTCCTGGAGATGCCCAAGCGCAGGTTTGCTTCCGAGGGAACAGATGCACATACATGGACAAGCACACCTTTGATCTACACAGTAACTACAGAAAAACTATAAGCACTGACAGTATGGAGTTACCACCAGGAGGTGGGAAAGAAAACCTAAYAAACAGGTTCATTTGGGATATGAATCTTGAGTCACACACAGAAGCAAAAGACTTATTTCCAGCACTGAGGCATGGGCATTACTCTCTGCGGTGCTGGGCTGTTTCCTTCAGACACACAGCTGCAATAAGCCAGCCATGCCAGAGTTTTATTAAGCCTTATGAATTTTTTAGCAGTTCTGGGAGCTATAGATTTTAACTTGGCTAGATATTTAACTCCATCTTAAAATGAAAWATAGCTTTAAAAATCCACAGCAGCATTTCATTCCTTAAATATGYGATTCAGCAGGAGCAAAACATCAAATATAAAGCAACTAAAGGTGATTTAATTATAAAAATATCTACTGACTATCTAAAAGACAAGCTAGTAYGTGAGGGGAAGGCCATAGTTATTAAGGTAACAGACTGGAAAGTACAAGTCTTATGTACTCTTCTTTAAGGAGCATGACCTTGATTAAGCAGAAGCAGCTCAGTTTACTCATCCAAGAAATGGCGAGAATATAGTCCGTGCTCCTAAAAGTGTGGTAGAATTATTAAGATTTTCCAACAGTGCTTTGAGATGTGACCATTAAAAGCAATTGCCTGAACAGAAATGCAATTCACAGTGCCTGTACACTGTGCAGACACTGCAGTTTTTGCCCACGCCAGCAATATTGCATATTGCCCGTGATGCACAACTTGCCTACACTGTTTTGAAAGCTTAGCCTGAAGCACCTGACCAGAATAAGTTCACCAATCCATCTGCAAAGGCTTTAAAAATGTAAGATAGAGCTGACCATGTTCCTTCAAATGTCTGTTTCGGCCATTACCTGCCTGGGTCAGAAGTCAGAACATAATCTCTACGTTAGAAAGTCATCTGCAGCCATTTACTTCAGAGTTTGCTTATACCAGATAAAACCCATTGCAGTACGATCAGGCTACACTAAAAACATTGTCAGCATAGCTAATATGAATGCTACTGCAGGCAAAAATGAAATAATTTAAGTATGTAGTGGAGAAGTCCTTTTTTTTTTCCCTTTGTCCTGCAGATTTTTGATCTACTGGTTACAGGAGAAAAACAAACAAACAAACAAACAAATCTAGTCCTCATGGCTGTAGAATAACCCTCCTGAAGGCAGAGGAAGCGCTGGCCAATGCACTAACCTGAGCGTGCACAAGCCCTAGAACCACAGATACAGGAATTCACCCTTCCATCCTCCTCCACTACTGACGTCTGCTGCACGAAACACTTTGCAGCTYGTAATAAAACACGTGCCAAGGGTTYTGCACGGGCCTCGCAGAGCAGCGAAGGAGCAGCACTACTAAAGTCTCGTCTGCCACTTTTCCAGGGAAGCCGGGTTTTCAGACCAATTTGCTCCCTTCCTATAACAGTGAGGCAGCGTCTGCCTTTTACACAGCTCTGTTGAAAAAGAGCTGGTTTGTCATTGCCTTCCAACTATTGGCACGAAGATAGCTGCATGTTACTAAACTGGTGGTACCCTGCTCATCTGTATGAATCCCTTTCCTCCCACAGGATTCCAAGCAAACGCTAGGCCAGAGCACGCCTCAGCAGCCTGTATTCCAGGGATGTGCAGCACCTCAGAGTCCAGGGCACAGGGAGCACAGGGCCCATGCAGGAGCATCCCTGCAAAAGGAGGTGCTGCCACCTGCAGCCACCACGAGACAGGCACTGGGCAGAGAGCTCTGCAGCCCTGCAGGACTCGCACTTCCCTAAGCTACCTCTACGCGAGGTCCAGACTTCATCATCAATTTGATTTATAATATCAAGTAGCCAGTGATCAAAGCAGGAAAATCTCAAATAATGCTTTCGGCTGATTTATGGCACATAAAAAAGGAAGTTTTATGCTATCACAGTCCTATGGAACAAATAAAATCATTGCAAGCGAGTCAGGAACAGAAACCATGGGAAGAAGGGCAGACCACACAAGTTATGATGAGGAAGTCCATCTTTATTAAAAAGGTTAAAAGTTCAGCTGAAATCTCCTAATAAATGCTGAACGTACGTGGCACAGAAAACTGCATCAAAGGAAATCAGCTGATTGATGAAAGCACTGAAACAATGCTGAAGTCTCCCACCAGYGTGAGATGATCTCTGTTTTTKGGGKTTTTTTTTAATCCCATGATATGAAAGGACGGGACTATGTGGTTCACACACACAAGGCTTCTTTCACAGAGAAGTATGTGCTTTCACGCACCCAGGCCATAAATACACACTGCAGTCCAACACTAGCCTCCTTCCAGAAGGATATTCCAATACGCATGCAGAAATACAATCCAAAGCAACTTAAAATAATTAAACACAGCATATTTAACAGGTTTACATTCAGACACTTTATTGATTTTTCCCCTCTATATTTAAAAAGGAGAGGCCAAGACATGTTTTAGGACACATGAAGAGGTGGACTACAAATCTGTTCATCTGCCTACGCAGACTCATCACACTGCACACAGCTCATSCAGAGAGACCTGAAAGAAGCTTGAAAAGCTCCTACTGGTGGGAAATTGCATGGGATAGGGATTAGAGGGGTAAGAAAGAGACCTACCATCCTCATCATAACACAAACCAAGCAGGAAACCTCTCTTACCACCCAGTGTCTGTGTGGAGGCTATTTCGGCCCACCTATATACGTCAGAAATCATTTGTTAGGTTAATTTATAACTACAAGTTTTCTAATACTAACATGCTTTTGAAAGACACACAAAGATAAAGCACATTTTTACTTTCAAATCTCTTCAAAACAAYGATGTCCACTCAGTATCCCTGCGAGGTAGGCAAAAATTAGCTCTGTCTTTGGAGACCCAGAGAAATTGAAAGACTTCCTTAAAGCCACAGTGGAGAAACAGTGTTATTTATTATCAATATCCTTAAGAGACTGGAATGATAAGCTTTATTTATTTATTTTTACAGCCTAGGAATTAAAAGCGTTTTGGATGGATTTTCATCTCATTCTTATTATTATACTGCATTGAAACCCTCCCATCTACACAAGCACCAGTGACCCTTGCTTCATCTATGTAACAAAAAATGCTGGTCCTTCCTAACAGTCAGCAGATACCCTGCAGAGGAAGCTTTTCTACTGGTAAATGATAGCTTAGATACAACTACAGTTAAATATGTTACTCCATGAACCACCCCCTTGTAGATTTTTCTTCTCAGCCATGCAACGATTGCAGTTATCAAATGCAYGAGTTATGTTTTAGTTACTTCCAAGAATTTAGCTCAAGTACTCCACTGTATGGAAAAGGAATASAAAAAAGGCAACTACCAATTCTTTTAAACAGATAGCATACAAGAGCGAGGTACTGTAAAACAAAGCACTCGGCTGCTAAGGGTAGCAACAAAGTCATGCTGGCATTAACCTAATAAAACCACCCACGCCCAGGTGTAAGATTAACAGATTCACCTACTCAGGTCTGTGATTTTTGCTTTGCAGAAAATTTAGGTGGGTCTTCAAGACAGGCTCCTCTTCAGGTGTGAAGCAACAGCAGACACTGTCATATCCATCTGTCTTAAAAGCAGCTTCAAGGAGCCTCTGGTACCTCCACTCTTTGGCTTAACTGAACTTCAGCATCTTCTCATCCTGCTCCTCATCTCACCAAACCTTTCACTGTAGAAAAGCAGTCTACACTTGCTGAACTGTTTAGCTCACTTTTGGCTAGTGCCCAGAGGGATTAGAGATTACCTGACCAATTTTAATAAGAAGTGAATCTAGGGCTTGTAAAATCTGCCTGGAATTACAGTTGACAACTCAGTTGTGAAGAAGCAACCCAACAGCTAGGTAGCAGGAAACCACAAAAACAGTCAATTAACTACATCATGTAGTCTGGCATCACCTCGGCTTCACTTGTCAGTACGTTCCACTGATAACACCCAACAGCATCAGATGAACATCACAAGTGCATAATTTACCTATGACAGATGCTAAGCTCCCTGTCGGCAGTTTATTGCTCATTTTTGAGAGGTCACTTTGTTTTGGTTCAAAAGCAAGGCCATGCTACAGGAACCAGCAGCTCCCATTCACCATCTGTATCAATTCCAGCCAACCTTGTCACAACTCGTGTGAACAARCATCCTACCAAATGATATAAGGTACTGATACTTTTTCCTCAACTCAGAGGAGTTCATCTGCCACCAGGAAACATGGAATGGACCAAGTTCATCCTAGGTTATGGTGCCACTGAAAATCACTGGTATTTGAATTTTGAGTTTRGCACAGTCTGTTTTTTTGCACAGCTAAATATGGCTGAAACAACTCATTCTGTAAAAGGCCATATCATTTAAGTGGCAAATTTGCAGAAAAAAAAAAAACCCAAAAACATATCACAAGGCGTAGAGAGGGAAAGAGGTGGGGAACATCACTTCACAGCTAACCTGTGGCAGGTTCACAGCTAACCTACCACGTAAGTGTGWTTTCAGTCACGCAAACCCTGGACTCCTTTAGAACAAAGAAAAAAATATCTTAGCAAAAACAATCCCTTCTCTTTCCCAATCCCAATTTTTGTGCAAAGACAAGGCAATAATCCTGCCTTCTTCCTGATAATCTTGTATTTCTCTTCTTTGCTGCCACCTGGGCTTCTTATACTAAGATGTTAAGCTCTAATACTCTAGGCCTCTAAATAAACAGAGAGAAGGACAACAGGAAAACTCCCTTCTTTAAGCATTTGTCTGGTGCTTCCAGACAAATATCCATCAATCTGCAAGCAGCCAGAGAATTCTGCCACCCTGTCTGTCAGACCGCCCAAACTGCAAGACGGTCATTATAGAGAGTAAATCCTAACATAGAAATGGCAGCCACTGGTTTTCTTAGGTGTTGGAGGCCTTTTCAGTTGCATTTATGACTTCAACTTCCTTAGATAGATATAAATKCACTGGGTTTTCCCTTAAAGCTTGTGCAGTGGGCCAGTCGTGCTCCACTTTAGCATCAGCATAACACAGAGACCATAAAGAATAAGCAGAGGCAACAGAGAACACATCAATACCTGATGCCTTCCAGGGGACTGAGAAACATTAGCTCAAAACTTGGCTGGGAAAAAAGAAAATAAAAATAATTAAAACATACAACAGATGAAGATGAACTATGATCACAAGGGAGTGGAGCGACAGCATCTGCATTGTTGTGACGCTAAATATTTGGCAGTGTTTTGTGTTTACCAYGCAGGAGCCCCTGGAAGCCCTTGTCCGTGGTAAAGGAGTAAGAACAATTATTGTGCTTGTAAATGAGAGTTCGTATTTGAGGCTCCATCTCACTTGTGTTAACAGTGGAAGCCTCTCGGAGCTCAGTGCAGAAGCAGCAGTTCTTCAAACACTTCTTGCTCACGTTGTGTTGTTGCTCCGAAGCCAAGCAGCACAGTTCATCCCTTTCAAGGAACTGACAAAGCAGTTTCAGAAGTCTGTTGTGCAAGCCAACAGTGGCTGGGACCAAAACCTATAAAATTTCCAACATGAGCTCCAGAAAGCCTCCTCATTCTTCCTGCTGTCTGTAACACATCATCCAAGCACATCAACCACTGTTAATTTGCATTAATATTGAGTCGTGAGGCCAGACTGTACAGCTGCTGTTAGAGTTTGGGAAGAGCACCAGCAGGGGCTAGCGTGATACCAAAAACATAGAAGAGCCCCAGGAGGAGATTGAGCTTGGCTGTCCGCTGGGGGATTTTGTTGAAGCTCTGACTCCGAAACTGCCTCTCCAGTGAAAATGCCATTGGGATGGTGAGAAGTGGCAATGCCATGCTGATGGTGTAGCGTGTGGCCAACACACAGAAAATCAGGTAGGGCAAGAAGAGCAGCACAGTGTAGAGGACGTAGGAGAAGGCAGGGCCGATGAGGATAGCCAGGGTGACAATACCGGCCTGCTGGTCAGACTCCATGTCCCGCGTGTTGTTGCTGTGCAGGATGGCCTCAGTACTGAGAGCTAGTGGGACAGCGTAGAGCAGTGGCGAGACGGACAGATAACCAACCTGCACAGCATGGGCAAACATGACGGCCAGCGGCCCAAARGTGATCAGGATCACCACGTCTCCAAGTGCAACATATTTAAATCCAATTCCTGTGGCAAGACACAAGGATAAAATGAAGCATCATCAAACAACTCTAGCTATAGAAAAGATGTTTTTATATCAGATGAGCAATTCACACAGAAATGTAAAAAAAGAAAAAAAAAAGGCTAAAATTGAGAAACATATTTTCTCCCTTTTTTTTCCTCTTTTGTAAATGTAATAAATGAAAACCAGCTTCTGAATTTCTCCAGTCAAGTCACTTAACAAAATTAAGGGCCTTCACACCTTCACACCTTATTTCCAGTATTCTCTATGGTGATTAGATATATGGGAACCTGATCCTCAAGGATCAGAGCAAAAGCTCAGAACAAAACACAAAATTAATAAAGCACTTTCCACTGAATTTACACACAGTTACAAGTTTGCTACTGTTTGTCTAAGCAAAATATTTTATGTTTCTGTCTACCCAACTCAGGAAAACATTGACAACATTCTCCTCCACAAACATCCTCTTCTTAAAAAAAAAAATCCTCCTCTTAGCAAAAAGAAATACAAAAGCTATTCTATAAACACTGTGAAATTTCATCTAGAGAAGGAAAACAAAATATTCCAACACAATGTACACTATAAAAGAACTCATTTAGTGAGACATAGATGGTCAAGGGACACCAGACAGGCAACACCGAAAGTGTCAGTAACAGCTCTGACAAGCACCTACAATCATATAGGTAATGTCTCAGTCCTGCTCCCAAACTGAAGAACTGAGCGCATCTACTCCTACACCTTCCAGTATATGTGACAACTCCCGCCAAAAAATGTAAGCCTAAGTGCCAGTACTATAGGAAGTATCACCACATACCTGCACAAGGGTTTCCCAGCTCATTGGAGCTTCCAGAAGCCCCTAAATGAGCAAACTCTCCCACGTGCACGTTCAGAATCGCAGGGATTCGGCACTCACCTCCAGTGTAAAGGAAGGAGCTGGAGAGCCCCCCGAAGTAGATGAGGGCCAGGTGCTCCAGCTTGAGCGTGGAGACGCAGTAGAGCCCCGCCGCACAGAGGCAGCCCACGGTGTAGAGCAGCACCCCAAACCGCACGACATCCTGCGGCTCCAAAATCTGGTCCACCAGCGTCCTGTCGTCGCTCTTCTTGTGGTCGATGCCTTTGGAAAAGTCGTAGTAGGTGTTCACCAGGTTGCCGGCGCCGTGCACAGCCAGGACGGTCACGGCGCTGCCCACCAGCAGCCCCGGGTCCAGGGCGCCTTGGGCCCGGTAGGCCAGCGCGCTGCCGAGCGCCACGGGCGTCAGGGAGGCGCTGAAGCTCCAAGGCCGCAGGGCCAGCACGTAGGCCGCGCACTTCTGCCTCCAGGAGCCGGCGGGGGCCCTGTCGGCCACGGGCAGCGCGGCGCCCGCCTCGCTCCTCTCGCCGCCGATGCTGATGTGCTGCATGAGCTGCCCCGAGCYCATGGCCCCGGCCGCTCCGCCGCG